ATCAGTCCAGTTAGCAAATACACAGAGACAGTGGGGGTAGCAGAGAGAGAAGACTGGATACACACTGGGGGATCAGTCCAGTTAGCAAATACACAAAGACTGGGGGTAGCAGAGAGAGGACTGGATGCACACTGGGGGGTCAGTCCAGCTAGCAAATACACAGAGACAGTGGGGGTAGCAGAGAGAGGACTGGATGCACACTGGGGGGTCAGTCCAGCTAGCAAATACACAGAGACAGTGGGAGTAGCAGAGAGAGGACTGGATGCACACTGGGGGGTCAGTCCAGCTAGCAATCACAGACAGCAGGCGCCATGCCTCTCGCTGTCAGACGCTGAGGGCAAAACTGGAAACAGCCCTGGCTTTAAAGAAATCCACCTCACTAAAAGCCTCTTTTTCCACCATTTTCTCTTCCTTGGAAACAACGCAGCCTGAAAATCCAATACTAGTGGCGTCCTGTCGGCACATTTTCACAACGGCCTCGGTGGCCCTCATTTGTTTTACGGGTTGTGTTCTTTCCTCCTCACTCCTCTGGGTCAGAGGGAGGTGGTAGGTGTGACTCAGAAATGTGGGGGGCAGGTAGAAAAGAGGACCTGGAGCCAGGAGCCTGGCCGGGCAGAGGGGCGATTTGTCCCCAGAATGGACAGATAACAGCACACAGTTTAGGAGACGCCCGGAGACCCACGACTCCTCAAGGCCATGCGGAGGCCGGGCTGCTGGCGTCCTTCTCGGATGGGTCAGTTTGAGGCTCTGAGGTTTAGTGAAAATTACTCTGAGAGGATGGTTTTGAATTGCTAACCAAATTAAATTGGAATTACTGATTTCTGGAACTGCATGTTGTAATGAGAAATGGTAAATAAAGACGATCTGGAAAGAATACAGCTTTTTAGAGAAGGGTTCAGGTTTTGCTCCACGTACATTACAAAAGATGAGTGAGTGACCAAAGGAAATGGCAGTCAGCCATTGTCAGAGACTGAGCAAGGAACAAAGGCTCTTTATTCGTAACCTCCGGCAAGGGAACCCGTCCACCATTGCAGCGGGCTCAGGGGTGTTACAGGGCGAGTGAGTTTTCTGGAGTACAAAGAGGAGCTACTGAGGCAGGCGGACTGGACACCGTGGATGAAGCACTGCACTCAGACATAGCCAGGATCACGAAGATGATGAACGACTGGGGATGTGTCGTCCTGTCATCTGCAAGGTCGCTGTGAGTTGGAGCTGAGCTGCTGGCACCTAACAGTGGGAACAGCTGAGGTAGGCCCGCTGGTACCCAACACCAACAGGAACAACTGAGGCAGGGCCCGCTGGTACCCAACACCAACAGGAACAACTGAGGCAGGCCTGCTGGTACCCAACACCAACAGGAACAACTGAGGCAGGGCC